CTGCCAAAAGCAAAAATAGCTTCAGATTTTTCATTTGTAAGGCGTCCACGTCCTAGTAAAACCTTGGCATTTGAGGCGTGTGCAGTGCCATTGGCTGGAAATGGGGCCGCACTCTTGTGCCTGTTGCAGGAATTCATACCCAGGTCTGCTTCAGGAGGTGTTGATCCCTGTCGGGGGCAAGCGCTGCCATGAGAGCTGTGGAGAATCCCTGCTTAAGCCAGGTCGTGTCTGCAGGGTTGTGTGCAGGCTGCTATGGCCTTGGGCATGGTATCAGGCAGGGAAACTTTTCTTCCCCTTTCAAACCCTATCACCCCTCCTACACACACACACACACACACACACACACACGCACACGCACACGCACAGAAAGAGAGAGAGAGAGAAAGTAGTGGTGGGGCAATTGTTCCTTTTGAGGTACGTTTTACCAGGAGAACCAGGCTTGAGCCTCTGAAGACAGCCTGGCTTTTGCTTGGCCTTCTTTAGGAAGACTGCCCTGGATTGGTTTGGCCTTGGGACTGGAAGCATTTAGGTAGGTAGAGGATTGTTTTTCCTTCCCTGACTCTCAATCATTCATCCAAAAGCAGTACCCGTAATACTCATTGCCCTTGAGCAGAGGAGCTTGGTCTGAGGTGGAAAGGGTAAAGTGGTGGAATCAGCTTGGCAGGGGTTGGGCCAGCCACTGAGGCTTGGGAGTCAGGGTACAGCAGCCCTGGAAGATTGGAAGGGGTGCCCTCTCAGGGTGCAGAGATGCGGGACTAGCCTAAGCAGGTGCTAACAAGGTACCTCCGGGCTCAGCACTCTCTGATCTTCCTCCTTGCTGCTCTAACCCTCTCGAGGTCCTGCCCCTCTGAACTCCAACCTGGGATAAAGCAAAGATGTCAAGGGTCAGAGGTCCAGGGCCCCATGTCCAGGAGCCTGGCCCCCTTTACCCTGCAGGGAGTAGGCCAGGGGTTCTATGGGCGGACCCCGCCTCTGCCAGCTTTGAGTTCTGAGCAGTGTGGACTGCACACCCTGTTCTGGGCACCAGCCTCATCAGGAATTCCCAGAACTGCCTCTTGTTGAGATGAGGCTTGGGCTAAGTCTGTCCCCACAGCAGCAAACCCAGATGCTATACTTCCTGCTTTGCATGGGCAACTGTTAGGAAGAGGTCTCAGTGAGACCCAAGCCATAGCCTTGATGACCTGGATCCTAATGGAATCCTTTGAGCCAAAGGGCTCCCTGTCACTTCCTTGTCTAGCTCTCTCATTTTACAGATGTGGATTCTGGGGCCAGTGATGGCTTGCTCTCACAAGTTCAGGAAAGAGTTGGAACTGGAATGCAGGGCTTCCTGACCTCATGCTTTTCACTGCCTGGGCCGGCGTAGGGGGAGTCTCTGCATCCTGCTCTCTTCTATGAGGAATATAAATATCTACCTACACATAGGTTAGGAGAGCCTTTTGGTAGTGACTCAGTCAGAGGTCTGTTTGAAAATCATCAGCTCCTCTGTCCATGGGATTCCGTCACTTTGAAGGACTCTTTCTGAGTCCCTGCTCCCTCCCTGAAACTTATAGGCAGAAATGTCCAAGTCATAGAGTTTTCTGTAGGGATAGATTAAATTGTTGCTGTAAAAGTGCCTAACACAGTGCCCAGAGCATTGCCAGCACTCAGTAAATGTTAACTGAATGTGAATTGGAATTATCTGTGACCGATGCTTACATTGCTGGCTTGCTTGCCAGACTTCCCTTGCTCCTCGGAAAACCCAGCTCAGAGTGTGTTAAGAGACTGCAAATCCTCCTGGCGGCCCAAAGGAAGTATGGGAGTTATCAGGGTAAATTTCTTGAAAAAGATATAAAATGCACAGGATATGCTCCCAAATCCATCAGTGGGCATGTGGATCACCCACTGCCGCGGAATGAACAATCCCCCTGTTCTTGTGCCATAATCAGGAGCTCATCAGGCTTGTGCTGTATTTCTGTTCTCTGAGTGATGACATTTATAGGGAATGTCATTGTCATTCCTGTTGTCTTTTGCGGCATCTGAATCACCCTCCCTTTATGAGGGAGCAGAGACACCTGTGAGTATTCTCCTTAGAATGCAGATTAGGAAACTGAGGCAGAGGTGGGCTCTGTGCAAAAGCCCGACTGGGAGCACACTGAGTGAGGGGCACTTCGGTTGGGTTCTTCTGATTCTGATCTGTCTGTGGGGTTCACTGTTGGGAGAGAGGACGTCCACCCTTGAGACCCCCCCTTAGCGGGGCATGGAGTAAAATCGGTGGAATGCAAGTGGCATCTACAAAATCTGGGTTCCCAGTCTGAGAACCTCCTTATGCATACTGTGCTGCTTCCTGGGCTGTCATGTAAATCTTGAGGGCTCATGGCCTTTACCCTTAAGGCACTTACTATGGGAGGGGGGAACGGGGCTGTACCCTTCACCTCCACACGGAGACAGAGACGGCCTGGGCTTAAATCTCTCTGCCTTCAGCCAGTTGTTCAAACTCTTCGTTAATCTTCTTCATCTGCAAAATGGGGACGACAGTGGTGTCTACCCCCTGGGCTTGCCAGCAGGGTTGGCCGAGATGGTCCATGGACGCCTGTGGTATGGTGCCTGGCACACAGTCAGCCCTCTGTTGACACCAGCTGCTGTCCCTCTCTGGACTGGAAGACCTAGGAAAGCCAGGAAGCATATGCTTCAGGGCACTTCAGGGCACAGGTAGAGGGGTCAGGCTGCCTGAGGTGGGATCTCCATTCCCTCCCTTTCTGACCTCAGACTGCCAACTCCTAGGCTTCCTCCTAGGTTGCCGTGAGGGCGACATGACATGATCCGTGGGAGACCGTGCAGTGCCTGGTGCCAATGAACCGCAGGATGAATGTTAGTGACGGGGATTATTAGACATGTAGAAAGCGTCTTGTGATCCAGCCCAGAGAGCGATAGGTGCTGAGAAGGGGGCAAAATGCCGTGAGCCCAAAGAAGGAGAGAATTTCAAGGTGACGAGAAAAGGGCATTGCAGAGACGCTGAGGAATGGGGGTGGGGGGCGATCAGGAGGGCTGGAGGAGAAGGAGATTCCCTGCAGAAGGAAGCATGTCCAGGAACAGAGCCCTGCATGGTCCCCTCATGAGCCACTCTGCTCTTGCTGCTGAGGCTGGTAGGGGTGCATGGGCACAGGCTGCAACTGTCCACCAGGATCCGTTGGTGGCAATGCTGGCCTGCCGGGCCACAGAAGCTCAGACCTGATTCTGTAGGTTGTGGGACTGAGCACAAGCAGCACTGGGCTGTAGGGAGATGGCCCTGAGCAGAAAGGCTTTCTGGGGACCAGGAGCAATAGGTGGGATGCGAGGTGAACAGGCTGGTGGGAAAGAGGGCAGTCAGAGCTACCGTCTCATTATTTGGCAACTCCTTGGGTGAAGCAATGAGGAAGATGGCCAAAGGGACGGGTCTGGGGTGAGGGAAGCTGTGAACAAAAGGTTGACTGATGGGCAAGGAGGCGGGTTCGGTTTGACCTTGTCCGGCTTCAGAGGCATCCAGGTGGGAAAGTCCAGTGGCAGCTCAGGAGCGAGATGAGGTAGAGGTCTGAAAGCCTCGAGGGGTGGGTAGGCAAAGGAAGGAAGCCAGTTTATAGGGAAGGATGAAGATCAAATCCCATTTACCAGACAAACCTCTGCCTCATTCAGTTAAACATACCGTCAAGCCAACTGAACTCCTGAGGGTCCAAATGATTCTGAGTTAGGATTGGTTCCATGTGCCAGTTTAGGATTAGTGAAAATGAGTGTGTCAACCCCAAACAATTTCCTGGTGCTGTTACGTGTGTTTCTGTGTCACCACATGTCTTCCCACAGATGGTAACACATTTGGGGATTCAGAGTCATTTCAGTATCATCCTTAAAAAGCCAGATTTGGGAAGGTAAATCTGTTTCTTAAAGCCCAAAATAATTCTCCGAGCCATTGTTCCCCACCAAACATGCAGGTGATGGGGAGGTGTGTCCACGATGTGGTTCAGAGACTGTCAGGGGAAGGGACAAGGTGGCCCCGGGCCTGGAGGAACCTCCAGGGGGTGGAGTGGGGCAGGGTGAAAGGGGCTGGCAGGGAAGGAGCGTCGTTACATAACCCAAGGGAGCGATGGATGGTGGGCAGATGGAGACGGGAGGCGAGGAATCTGGAGATGGCAGAGTGTGGATCGGCTTCCTCTGGGAAGCAGAGGGACAGCACAGGGAGGCAGGTGAACCAGTAGCCCAAGACCTGCTTTCCAGGGCTGGCAAGGGACCCTGCCTGGTGTCACAGCCTCTTGTCCTGGCTCCAAGGGTCACGAATGGGTGCCAGGCTGCGAGGGGTCCCGGAGAGTGTCACCCTACCAGGGACGGCCCCCCCCTTGGGACTTGGGGAATAGGATTCCGGGCCTACCATCTTCACCTGCTGTCTCGGAGAACCTTCCGGATGGGGCAGGCCCAGCCTCTGCTCACCAGTGAGGAGCAGACACTGTGTTTACCCACTCTCCCTCACCCACCCCCCCATCCCTGATTACTCTGGTGGGTGAAGAGTGAAATAAAAATTAGCGTGTTTATCCCACTTTTAAATTCATTTAATGAGAACTCATTTACCCTCTCCCGATTTAAATTCGTAATAACGCCATAACCTTTCAGAGCTGATTATTGCCCGCACCTTCCCACCTCTTCCTCCGAAAAAGTCCTTCCTTCCAAGTGCTCCTGAGCCCTCGTGGAACCTGACAGTTTGCTGGGCTGTCGACAGCACCCGGTGACGCCACCCTGCCCTACTGCCCTGTGTGTTGGGAGCGGGGAGTCAGGTCCCTCCCCACAGCAGTGGCCCAGGTTTGCTCACCAGCCTTCAAGGCTCTTGCTGAGTTGCTGCGTGGCTGCCCTTCCCTTCGTCCTGTTCCCTATGTGGGAGCAGCCGCGGGACTCACCGGGTTCTCCACTCTCCCCTTTTGTCTTCCCAGGAGTCCGGAAGCCAGGTCCACGCCGGGGCCCCAGGCCTTCGAGCGGCAGCCGGCCCGGCAGTGGGAGGCAGCATGGCAGCAGGAGTGGCGGCCTGGCTGCCCTTCGCCCGGGCGGCGGCCATCGGGTGGATGCCGGTGGCCAACTGCCCCATGCCCCTCGCCCCTGCTGACAAGAGCAAACGGCAGGATGAACTGATCGTCCTCAACGTGAGTGGCCGGAGGTTCCAGACCTGGCGGACCACGCTGGAGCGCTACCCTGACACGCTGCTGGGCAGCACGGAGAAGGAGTTCTTCTTCAACGAGGACACCAAGGAGTACTTCTTCGACCGGGACCCGGAGGTGTTCCGCTGCGTCCTCAACTTCTACCGCACAGGGAAGCTGCACTACCCTCGCTACGAGTGCATCTCGGCCTACGACGATGAGCTGGCCTTCTATGGCATCCTCCCCGAGATCATCGGTGACTGCTGCTACGAGGAGTACAAGGACCGCAAGAGGGAGAACGCCGAGCGGCTCATGGACGACAACGACTCAGAGAACAACCAAGAGTCCATGCCCTCACTCAGCTTCCGCCAGACCATGTGGCGGGCCTTCGAGAACCCGCACACCAGCACGCTAGCCCTGGTCTTCTACTATGTGACGGGCTTCTTCATCGCCGTGTCAGTCATCACCAACGTGGTGGAGACTGTGCCGTGTGGCACAGTGCCCGGGAGCAAGGAGCTGCCGTGCGGAGAGCGCTACTCGGTGGCCTTCTTCTGCCTAGACACAGCCTGTGTCATGATCTTCACCGTGGAGTACCTGCTCCGGCTCTTCGCAGCACCCAGCCGCTACCGCTTCATCCGCAGTGTCATGAGCATCATCGACGTGGTGGCCATCATGCCCTACTACATCGGCCTGGTCATGACCAACAACGAAGACGTGTCCGGCGCCTTTGTCACCCTCCGGGTCTTCCGTGTCTTCAGGATCTTCAAGTTCTCGCGCCACTCCCAGGGCTTGCGGATCCTGGGCTACACGCTCAAGAGCTGTGCCTCCGAACTTGGCTTCCTCCTCTTCTCCCTCACCATGGCCATCATCATCTTTGCCACTGTGATGTTTTATGCCGAGAAGGGCTCCTCCGCCAGCAAGTTCACCAGCATCCCTGCCTCTTTTTGGTACACCATTGTCACCATGACCACCCTGGGGTGAGTCTGTGCTGGTGGATGGAAGGACGGAGGTCTTGTGGGAGGGAGACTCGGGATGGTTGGGATCCAGCAGAGGAGGATGGAGTTGCCTGTCCAAGCTGCAGGAGCAAGGGCAGTCACCTCATCAGAGAGAGGGAGACACACCAGGGATGTGTTTGGGGGCAGTAGCTTGCTCTGAATTGAGTTTTCTTTTGGGGAGGGGGTGGTGGGGCATGCATTTTATAAAACATGGAAAATTAAGCCACTACGTGTCTTTCCGGCCATGCCTTCTGTGCGTGTGTGGGGTGCAGTGAGTGGTGACTACTGCCTTCGTGTACACATCTGTGCTTGTGAAGGGCTGCCCCCAGGTGGCACAGGGGCCCGGGCAGCAGGTGGGAGGGCAGAAATACTGAGCAGTTCAGTGCGCGTCCTCAGGAAGGGACCCATTTCCATTAACGGGAGACACCGAGAACACCCCCTGTGGATCCTTCCCGTGTTTCTTGTCCATAATGTATCTGCAGGCTATTTCTCTTTTGTTTGACTTCTCTTCACTGCCACACATGCTCTTGGGGTCAGTATCTTTGAGCAGACTTTCTCTAAGTGACTCTGAACTTGGGTTTTCTGCGGAGCGGGCCACCTGGCTTGTTTTTTCTTGCTGGAGGAGGAGCAGCCTGGCTTTCCCGGCCTGCCTCTGTGATTGAGTGACCTGGCCTACCTGGGTGACTGTGAGATGGTCTAAATGCATCATGTGGTCAGACACAGAAGCAGCAGCGGCCTCGCAGGGAGGGGGAGGCCCTCGGTGCAGCGACAGGTGACTCCATCTCTTCCACCTTCCCCGAGGTCCCTTCTCTGGCTGAGGTCACAGAAATGTATTTATGGTGCTGGTGTGCGAAGCTTTCCATCAGAGAAATGGGCCCAGGAAGCAGATTGCAATCTTCACCCTAACAGGATTAGGGCCCACGAAGGCAGCTGTGTGGAGACGCGTACTTCTCAGGGGCCTCTGCTCCGGCCGTTGGAAGTCATTGAGGCTAATGCAAAATCCCTTTACAATTCACGTGCTGGGTCTGTATTTGCTTACGCCAGGAAGCGTTATATTGCTGATGGAGAATTCATGAGGCTTTTTATTTGGTCTTTGACAATTTGGTTGGTGGTGTCCTGGTGATTCAACTTTTTTCCTGGCTGACACCCTGTGGTGCTGGTGTCAGTTTTTCCATAGTGCTGTGTGTGCTTCTTGGGGATGATTGAGCAGGTGATGGGACCTTTTAAGATGATTACATTTGTCATTGTGCCACATTGGGGGGGGGGGAGCAAGGGGTGTCACCGCCACATTTGGTGGGGACGTTCCCTTTGCTTTTGGGCTGTCTGACACAGGCAATCCTGCCCCTTCCTGTCTTTCCAACACACACACAGTTGTCCGAATAGCCACACACACCCGGGGTGGGTGAGGACGTCTTGTCATTTGGGTTTGTCTCTGGACGTAGGCAGCAGATGTGGGCCTCTTGGCATAGTGGGATATTTAAGGACAGAAGGGTCTGGGAGCTGGCCACCGTGTCAGGAGGAGAAGGATCACCTTGGTCCCCTTGAGACTGACCCTGCCCATGCCTTCACTTTCCTGAAGGGGACCTCCCCCTGGCTAGGACGTCTGGCCATGCTTCCAATGTGGTTGTGACTATCCCGTGCCCTTTGATGGGACTCAGGACACCAGAGCGATGCCTCAGGACTGCAGTGTGGATAAAACAGGATAGACGGATGGATGTCAGAGTTCAAATGAGATCATTTCAGAGGAGACTGCTGGAAATTCCAGGGGCTGCCTATTACTTTTCATTATTAGCGTAAGAGCATGCGTGTGTCTACTATGTGTTAGCAATGTGCCAGGCGTTTTGCATATATTATCCACCTAAGTTTTCGCCACAGCCCTGTGAGGTAGGAAAAATGCCATACGACCTTGCAGATGCAGAAGGCAAGGCTCAGAGAGGTCAAGGATATTTCTGTGGTCGCGCAGCTGGTAAGGTAAGCTGATTTTCCAGTGCCCATCTGTCTGTCTGCAGTGCCCCTTCCCCGTTCCTTCATCACCCCACTGGTCCCCATACCCTTGGGGCCGTGGGGAGAAAGCAGACCTCCAGGGTTACTTCTTTTGTACTGTAGCCTCAGGGTGTTGATTTATTCTAGTCATATCACCCCTTAGCATCAGCAGGGTGGGTGCTACAGCCACTGTCCTAGGCACACAGGGAGTTTGTGAACAAAACACGTCTACCTGGCTGATCTAAATGCTGCCTTTGAAGTGAGTGGCAGCACTTCTGGTGAAATCCACTGTTTCACTGTCGCTGCAGAGACCACTGATCTCCTTTAGCAGTTACCCTGTAGGTCAAGGGGCCAGGCCTGCATCAGGGGACTGGCAGTTTCAGCCTTGTACTTGCTTTATGAGGGGTGAGTGGGGGATGGCTGGGAGCAAGAGGGCTCTGCGGGAGAGGATGGAAAGGGCATCTCCATGGAGAGTGGCTTGCCTCCCCCTACGGGTGGCCCCATGGGCTCCTCTCCCCCTGCTCCTCCCCAGGCAGCAAAACGTCTAGCCTCTGGGAGGGGAAATGAATGAGCAAGAGAAGAGCCTTCTTCTGGCAGGGTCTTCCTTAACCTCAGATAAGTCATGAGACAGCAGCTCAGTCTTCCCCTCCATCCTGGCTGGTGTGGTTCAGTGCTGGATGGGGCTACTTTGACCCTGACCTAAGTTGGCTGGAGCCATGGCAGGCTCATTGCATGGCTGTGCATGGCAGGGGCGCGGTTGAATGCTTTCTAAAGGATCTGTCAGTGTGAATGGGCACCTTTTCCATTTGCCAGGGCTGATAGTGTGTTCAGGTCCTCTTTCTAGGGTGGACCTGAGATCCATTCTCTGTCCCAGTCCCGGACCCCAGGGGGCAGAGGAGGTCAGGGTTCAGCCAGTGTCTGGTCCACCCCCTGAGACACTCTACAGCATCTATTCCAGAGGCCATGGTGGGAGTCTTCTTGCCCTCCTCTGGAGTCTTTCCCAACTTGGCCCTGGAAACTTCTCCCCATCCACTGGCTGATTCCTGTCCTAAAAATACTCACATAGGCCAGTTGTAGGCCTCAACCATTCTCGGAGCTTCTTGCTCTGACTTGTCGCTGGCGTCTGAGCCCTCAGGTGGCTGTAGGATACCGAGGGCCACTTTGCTGCCACTTTCCACGTTCTGTCCAGCTTCTTCCAGCAGCTCCCAGCAGACCCTTAGTTTGTCCTGTCTGCAGACCCTCCCTGCCCTGAGCCTGCCCTGGTTTCAGTCTGCAGGAAGCTGTCTCCAGCTCCTCTGCAGCAGAGAGCTGACTCACAGGTCGTGGGGCCGGGCCGAGGGCCCACAAGCCAGGCGGCGTTCATACCACCTCACTTTGGTTCCCATTGCTGCCTGCTTTCCTAGGACTCACAGATGAGTTACTCAGGTGTCCTCCAGGGAGGAATCTTCTGGAACCAATTATTGCTGTTTATTTAATATCTCAAAATACCTTAAGCACACCGAACAATAATAGCCCAACTGCCTCCTTGGGTCATGGATGGCTTACCCATGCCACCTCCTGTGCTAGTGGGGAAGACCCACATGCCAGCCCGTGTTTCCCGTATGTCCCCTCAACGGTGGAGCTCCCACAAGCTCCTGTTCATAATTGCTGCTATAAATAACATCCTCCATTATCTCAGTTAACAGAGGAAGGGGTAACACAGAGCTCCCAAGGTTAGAAAAGACCAACATACCTAGTCGTGAAGGTGCTCTAGGTCGTAGACTTTTCAAAGCAGATTTTCCTTCTTAATTTTGTTTGACTTTGTCTGGCATCATGATTGGCTTAGACTGTCTGAGTCAGTCTGTGGGTGAGGCTCCGGTGCAGCGTGGAGAAGGGAGCCTCCCAAGCAAGCACCCACCAGAACCATCGAGGGCTGATGCCAAGACTGGAGAGGATGAGGCTCTCTTGGCCAACTTGGGGAGTGGGATTGGGGCTGCGGAAGGGCACAGAGCAGCACTGCTTCTGGTAAGAGGGCCTGCTGCTGCTGGGTCAGCTGGCTTATGTAATTGAGATTGGCAGCCTATCTGTCACCTCATGCCCTGAGATGAGAGAGCTTTTGACAGTGTCCAAAAATCACTTTAATGAAAACAGAATCGATTTCTACTTCTTCCAAGCGTGAAGCAGCCTCCAGGTGATTTGCATTTCCCTTTCAAATGTAATCCTGGAAGGGGGCTGCCTGACGTTCTGAGAGCCTGAGAACCAGGCCTGGACAATCAATGCAGGCACATCACAGAGTAGGGCATTTTGTCAGGTTGTCCCCCCACCCCCCACCCTGGGGCCGGAAGTGGAGCCACTCTGGGATCTGGTTAACCCTTCAATTCCCCAAATTCTGGCTGTACCTTCATTCACTGCCTCTGGGGCCCACCAGCCCTCCTCCCAACTCCCACATGCCTTGGCCTGGGACACCAGCCAACCATGCCTGCTTGGATAGTGCCATGTCCTGGCTCATGGGGATCTGGCTGGGGCACACTTATGGGAATGAAAGACCCCAGGTCTTCTCTTGACTTGACACTTCTTAACCAACAGTTCTCTGGTGCTGCACCTTCTAAGAGAAGATACAGACCCACATCCCAACAAGGAGGCTCGCATTCATTCAACATTTATTCAGCACCTACTGTGCACCAGGCCCTGTGAAAACAAAGTGCCCAGATTGCGTATCAGCCCAGTGTGAAGTCCAGACAGAATGAATAGAACGAGATTCACTTCTCTTCCTTTGAACCAAAACAAGAGATGGTGGGAAGAGCAGTAAACCAAGCGTCAGAAAAAGAGGCCTTACTCATAATCTTCCCGCCATGCCAGAGACAACCCCTTACACTGCTCTGTGTCTGGCTAACTCCCATCATCCTTCACAACTCAGCCCCACACCACCTCCTCCAGGAGGTCTTCCTGCCCACCCCTGGTACCAGGGTGTACTAAGTGCCCCTCCTCTTGCTTCTTGTTGCAGCCCGTATGTACCTCTG